CACTGTCCTCCACTTCATGCAGACTCGCCTGAATGAAGAGAAAGTGAACAGTGTAATATCATGGGATGTGACCTGTCTTGAGGTCGCTGAGCAGTTGGAAAGGAATCAGATTTTCTCCTCTCCACGATTTGTATTTTCTAGGACACAGGAGGCACTGCTTCTCCCAAGGCGGGTGCGAAAACTTAATATTTTTTCTTGGGCACTAAAGCTGTCCATCTACACAGGCATTACAGTTCCTGGGCCTATCAGGAAAACGCACCATTTAGAAAGACAAAATGGGGAGATGTTGTATGCTCAGCATTGGAGGGAGACAAACAGAGACTATCCGAAGCCCGACACCGGAGCAACGGGGTCTGCTCAGTGGCCTTCCCGGCATATCCAAAGGATGGTGACAGGAAAACAGACTTCCCCGAGGTCTAACTCCAATAGGCGCAGGCTCTCAAACCAGATGAATGGCCAATTGATGATCATTAAGCAATCCTAGCATCAGGTTTGGCAGCACAACGACTTGGCAACTGGATTATCTACCAAAACACCACAAAGCGAGGCAGCATTATGGGGGCGGGGGCCCAAATATTGCCCGTTATCCACTAATTTATTGTGCAGGGCCGTCTTCTTCCGACGCCAAAACATTTGTCTTTGAGGTCAGGAACCCCAGAAACCGACAAGTCGGCTGGTAGAGGCCCCTGTGGTCTGTCAGTATGACATTTCGTGGGGTTAACAGCGCCGAAGGAAGTAAACTCAGGTCAGCAACAGCAACATCTTAAGCCACAAGAGGTTATATTGTGGACGCCAGAGCGGAATCATCGCGTGTAAACGTAAACTTTGGCAAAGTTCAGCGGTCCGAATGGCGCATCTTCGACACCGACAAAATTAACGTCTTTGTGAGTGAGGTTCAGCTCTGCGCATTAGTAAAGTAGGGATAAAGAAGTCAAAATCGTGGGTGATTGATGAAAGAGTATAGTGATGCTCTGAAAATTCACGCTTTTGAATCTACGGCTTCGTGGGTCTGGGTTTTTCCTGCTAACTTAACACTTAAAAACTGCGGACCCAACATATGTAATTCATCGTTTTTTGTGACTGGCAAGCTGTATATATCATTTTTAGCATTATTTTTTTAAGAATAATACATTGCGGCGATTTCAGAAGAATTATGCCCTCATGTATCCAATAATTATGCAGTTATAATTATTACCATATAATGATGTTGGCAAAGGAAAACGGTTCATTACGGAGAGCATATTAGTTTCATTGCTATACTGTAATAGTGTATAGGTATAGTTAAACTTAAATGCAACAAGACCTACATCATAATATGAAACTGTATACATATACGTATATAAGCATAGATACGTATACATACAAATACAAACATAAATACATACAAATACAAATATGTATGCATGCATACAAATACATACGAATATGCATATTATTCCGTTCATCATCCGCCAAAGAAGACGAAGAGAAAAGGGCACTTCCATGAACCATTGTGTATTGGTGCTGACGTTTCGGAAACTTCCTCGTTTCCGTAATCAGAATGGTCAGATACTTGTTCCTGCTTGCCGAAAGTTCGTCTGTCTCGCCGCCTGTGCGGTGTTATAGGCATGCCTAATACCCCGAACTCTGACCTTCCTGTTGTCTGAAATTTGGCTTGGGCCCCTCAGTGGCAGACTGCGGACGAACTCTTGTGACTCCTGTCACCTGTTGTAGTCGCTGTTGGGTCTGTGGCCCATCGTGTACACTGGGGCGGCTGCAACAGGACCTTCCATCATAACCGGATGGGCGAATAAGTGGTCGCTCCACGTGCGGATCACGTTCTGTTGTTTGGGTTCTTCGGTAAGTAGATGATTCACGTCGGTCTTGTGAACTGCGACTGTCTTTTCCCCTGGTGCAGCGGCGACAGCTGTTGACGAAGCTGTAGATCGTTTGCTAGTGCTGTCGGCCTCGTCTGGACGGACTGGAACCTTGTACAGAGAGCCTGATAGGCCAGATGTAAGTCGCCGCTGACTGCTACC